AAACTAAAAAAAGTCTTTTGCTGGATGGCACTTTAATGGAAAGATATCTGATTTTAGTCTTATATTCATTTTCGTGTTTCTCTGGAAGATGCTGATGCTGTCAAATTGAGACCTTTTGGACTCGTGGTGGTGATGGATTAAGTGGTCAGCTCCACTTTTCTGCCTGAGGCTGTTGCCTCTGGAACAGGAATGACTGAACGGCGTGTATTGTCACACAGGAATAGTCACAGTTAGTCCGGCGTGTTAACTTAAACTGACTGCCCAGGATGGATACGACCTATTGTCTCTGGAAGTGCTGCTTACAATTTCAGGAAAAGGTAGTGTTTTGGCAGCAGAAAGACTAATGCATCTTTACCATGGAGTTACAATGAGCAGAAATCAGCCAGAGTCTAGCAACGCTTATTACTCTACCTCTTGAGTGTAGAGGGCAGCTTTGGCACCGTTTTCAAGTGACAACTCTAGCAAGGATTTTTTGAGTGACTACAACCTTAAATTGAAGTTCAAATTGTTGAATGCGTGATGCAGCAATAGCTTCACAAAACTGCAGGGGGAAGCAGATGACTACTAATGGATGACTTAGAAATAGAATTGGTATTTGAAGCTGAAAAATATATTCCCTATCTATTTAAATTCCTTGCTTCTGTGCACCCTTTGAACCCCAGTAATTTTAAATTGACTGCTATGTGGTGACCTTACCAAAGGGTATACGAGGTGCAGATGTGCGTTGTCACACTGTATAAATAGCCTTACAGAGAAGAGAGTACGCATTTGCCGCTCTTGACGAAACTGGAGCCAAGAACAGTTCCCTAGCAAAGTTAAATCAATTGATCAAATAAAATGCATAGGAACAGCCAGAGGAAGCACAGTTAGAAGCATTACAGACTGAGGGTGTTTCTCCTTCAGCTCTCACCAGCTATATTTAAGGATTTCACTTCCAGCACGTTTATTATGTTGGTTACTTCCAAAACAGACCGTGAAAATGTGTAGCTTGCTTTCTTCTCTAATAGTAGAATCATGCTTTAGTGCTTTTATTTTTAACCCTGAGTTTTTTGGCAGAGTAGCTGAGGTCCGGGGCCTGTATTTGGTGGCCTTTCTTTTGAGTTGTTGTACTTCATTCAGAAGGCCAAGCTGTCTTTTCACATTACTTCAGATCAGGCCTTAATTTGCAGCACCTCTTGCTTGCCAGGCAGGTTTATGTTAAGACCCTAATTTCTTCAGAATATGGATGATTGGAATTCAGTATCCAAATCTGTAAACATTTCTAATCATATCCTTTAAGAATCATATTACTAGTTAAACATAGTTATTTCTTCTAGACTTTACAAAATAATTTTTTGACTTCGCACATCAAAAATTAATGCCTGCCACTTGGAATTTTCCATCTTTGTGTTAATAAAATATGCAGAAAAACCCCCTTAAGATTTGGCTGACTTTGAATAGCAGAAAATCATAATGGAGTGTAAGCTGGGGAAGCTGCACCTGACCCCAATGTCGTATATGATCAGCCTCAGGGAACGTAGTGGGTCAAGATATCTTTTCCTTAGGCAGAGCATTCTAGGAGTTCAGTCTGACCTACTTCCCTCGCTGAGGAAAGGGTAGCCTGCCCTGCAGCTACTTAAATCTTTTGCTGAAAAATTAGTGGGGGGGGACGCTGAAATGACATTGTGCAAAATTTGTCCCAAGGACAAGTCACTTGCAATTTTTTCACTCTGGGCTGATATGATCACAGTAAACTGATGACCAGTCAATTTGCAATTGTCCATCGAAACTGGAAATGCAGCATACTGAGTGAAAAGGTTACGTCTGCTAACAGCACTTCAGTTTTTGGTGGTTGTGGTTTGTTGTTTTTTGGTTTTTTTTTACTCTGAGTTTGAATAGAAGACATATTCTAACAGCATCCATTGGAGCAGTCATTTCAGGTTAAATGTAAATTCATCCAGAATAGTTGACTTTCCACTGCTTTTGTGTTATGATTTTCTGTTAAAAAAATGTATATATGGAGGAATAAATGGTGTATTTATTTCACAAATACAGTGTGTTTAGGATGTGACGTGCTAATGTGTATGGTTTTACATTTTGTGGAAAAGCCAGAGGAATTTGCTGCTAGCGATAGTGTGCTACTATATATTGCTTATGGGTCATGCTTGAAATACAAATACAGAAGGCTGCATGAGGTACCCTATAGACTTCACCTCTTTGAAAAATACTGTGAAAACTTGTACAGTTTGGAACTTAAGGGACAGCCTGAAACCCGTAGTACGGGGATATCTTGAAAATGTTGGTCAAGCTATAAGAGAAATACTGGTTTTGAACCAGGACTGCATTGCTTGCATTGCTGCTTGCCAGGGAGCTGAGTAAGCTGCAAAACCATATACGGTGTTCTTAACAATGCTGCTGGCTTCTGAAACATGCTTGGACAACACCTTTTCTGGTCAAACAGTCAGAAGTGACCCCAAGACTGTCACTGACGTTTGTACGTCTGTAACAGTTACGTGACTAATAGTTCTCTATCCTTCAAGTTTGTGCAGTTTGATTCCCAGGCAGACATACCAAGGAACAGGCTGTCGGAGGAGGAGAGTTGTATGAATCATCGGCTCCCCAGTGTGACAGTCCTTAAACTCTTCAGCTGCTCAGAACTTCTATCTGCGCATGTTTCCCCAGCGAACATGGCCATACAGCTTGGTCTTTCTTCTGTGCTGTTGAGGCTCTAGGTCACAGTCCTCTTGGCTACCTGAGAAGGAATCCCACAACTGAAGAATTATTTTTGTTCCTTTTACTTTTGTTTTGTTTTAATATAAAGGTTATTCTCCTGAAGCCTTGTTGCTGCAAATCACTTTTTATATTAGTATTTAATACTTAACTGGGGTAAACATGTACTATTTTGTAATAATTTTAATAAAATGAAACAAAATAATGGTAATACAGGTAGAGCTTTTCATCCAGTATTCCTTGATTTTAGGGTTTCTGCATCAAGAGTACTGTGACCATGCTGTAGTTCCCATTTTATACGAAAAAATTTCTTCCATTATTGTAGAGTTGTAACTCTGCCTTACGCAACAGTGAATCGGTTAATGGCACTTAAAGGCCAGTTCTAAATAGGTCATGAGCAATGAAGTCAGTAGGGCTAGTGTGTCAAGCATTTCTTATCTTGAATGAGGGTTGTCTATGTAGGTCTTTCATGTTTTCCAGTAGGATCATCATCTCCAAACCTGTTCTGTGCTGAAATCTGGCTATTTTGTTCACTGGTAGGAAAACTACTTCTGTTGTGCTAACTTTCACTCTATATGCATTCAAGATGTTTTAAAAATGTCTTTCTGTGGAGGGGCAGCTGCACGTGTGGCAGTGACCTTGCTGGAGCTGTTCTGTGTGGCACTTCAGAAGTTTAGGTACAGCTTTCAAATGCAGTTACGTACTCCCTGTGCTGAACAGGAGAATCTGGCATATATATATAAAGAATCTGTGCTTTTAATGCAGCTTGTTCCTTAAGTGCTCAAATTTGTTTGCATGCTCATATTTAGAAAGCACCAACTGGCCTATGTACCTTGGTGCAAGTGACGTTGTGGAAGGACTTGTGTAGATTTGTCAGTCCACACTGGAGGAAAGCTAGTTTCTAAATAGCGGTGCATGCTTTGTCTGGCCTATGGTTTTGTTTGTTGGTTTTTTTTTAAATGTGAGGAGCAATGAGTATTAGAAAACATATTTAATAGGCGATAGGAAAAAATCTAGTGATCTAGGCATGTATCAAAAGGGTCAGATCATATTTTACTGTGTAATTTTGTGTGTCACAACTGAATGCCATTCCCCTGAGCCTAGTTTTCAGAGCATTGTGATCTGTTATTACTAAGATGGTGACAATGGTCGGGTGAATTACTTTCCAAAACCAGTAAAAGCAAGAGGAGAGAACCTCTGATTTTGTATTGTTTGTCAGCTACTTGGCATAGCTGTGAGATGGTGCAGCGCTCCACAGAGTCCTATATTTAGCTGTTTCCAAGGAGATGTTCTGTGTGATATTGATAATTGCATTAATCCTTGATTTACACAATCTGCAGGAAAGGAAACTGCTCGTTTTCCTAGTGTTGGCTTTTTAATTGCCCAATGATCTGTAATTTATAGACACCTTGATTTAAGTCCTTTGTGTATGCATGTGTGTTGGGGGCAAAATCAGTGGTCAAATGATCGTTTTTCTACCATAGAAATGATTCATGAACATGAGCATTGCTTCTTGATGTTACTGTCTTTCTTACACTGCTTTGTTTTTACTTGTGTGAGGTATGTCTGCGTGTGAAAGACTTCCATTGTAAGCAGGTTGAAGAGATGGCTTGATGACATCCTGTGTCTTCTGTGTCAAAGGCTAAGAACATTCATGTCAACGTCACTTGTGCCAAGAGTACTGTTAAGATATTCATGGTTGAAAACACAACTCTGCTCAGCATGTGCAATTTTCACTGCATAACAGAACAATCTTCCTGTCTCTGGGTCTGATGCAGTCACTCCCTGCATAAGAAATGTTTCAGGGCAGTATTATCCATGGACCTGTTTCTGATGCAGTCAGCTCAACATGCTTTGTACATCTCTGAAAGTAACTGTGGACTTCTGAGGTGGAATTATTTCAAGCAAAACTTCTGAGACTTTACATCGAAAATATATTCTACCTAGTTGACCTGCACTGATTGAATTAAACTGAGTTGGAAAGGAGAAGCAGACAGCCAGCTAAAAAGCTAACATATTAGTTTAAACCATGTAATTCACTATGCATGCTCTTTCTGCATACTGTTGTCCGTGAACTGGAGCTTTTTAATTGCCTTGTTATACTCCAGTGTTTCGTGGATATATAAAGTATATCATGTCACAATGACGACAAGCAAGTGATCTTGGTAGTAGTTAAAATTCTTCAGGTTATATTTTATTCTGATTTCCATTCATACTTTATTTGGAACTGCAGCTGACCTACTTACTCATTTCAATTAAATACTTTGAGACATTTGTCTTTCCTTTTGTAGAAAAGAAGAAAGGAGAGCACAACGCTGAAGGAGAAAGGAAATGAACAGTTCAAGAAAGGAGGTGGGTTGATAATCTTTTAACACCATATGGGATATTAGGGAATCTTAAATTAATACTTAGCCATTGTGGTGATGTTGCAGAAAACCCATAGGAAGATCTCACACCTATCACTGTTCAAATCTATCATCTATATCATTTTCCATCCAGCTCTGGAGAACAGAAAGAGATAGCAGACCTCCTTAAGAGTTAAGTTTAAATCACAAAGACTTGGATTACTAAAGCAGGATTCTCATGAAAGTTAAGTGTTTAAATCCAAGAACATGATACAGAATTGACTGCCTTCCAAGCGCCAGGGTTTCTTTTACTAATCAAATGAGGCTTCCACTACGCTCCGAGTTTTGCTAGTGCGTGTGCTTAAAATTGACGCAGGACTCAGTGGCTCAGTAGCACTCTCATACCTTTGTACATTTGCATGTTTCTTTTTATCCACTGGCTCTCTCTGTTACACATTTTATTGATGTATGTGTGTGTACAGACATCTATATATATATATACACACACATATATGTACATCTATAGGTACTTACATGTACATCTATATACGTGTATATGTGTATATAGAGCTGTACACGCATGTATGCGTGTGTATATATAGAGCTGTACATGTACACACACATAAGTATATTAAAAAAAAAAAAAAATCTAGAGGTATGTAAATTTCTAGCTTATGCCAGAACTGGACACGTTCTGAACGTAGTTAATATGTAACAACAGGCTTGAGGTCAGTAATAAATACCTGTACCAATGCTTTTAATTAGAAAACATAAAGGGGGAAGTGATTTTGACACCTGCCTTTCATTTAATGTTTTGGTGGCTGGAGGATTCACAAAGAAACCAGGAAATGCAGATTCAAACTTTCCTCAGTCAGCAGGGACACAAACAAGTTACTTCCCCCTCCCAGAAGTACACCCTGATAACCAGGCAGTGGCCTTCCTGGTGGAGGTCTCTTAGCGTGTGCTAAGAGAGCAAGATTCCGGGGGAATGATTTACCAATTTGGGCAAGCATCAGAGCCGGCAGAAGGGAACTACTCGGACCATGAAAGCCGCACGCCTGTAACGTTGGCCGAATCATCTTGTGAAGTCTCATCCATAGCCTCTTCTTGACGGATTCTTTGGCAGATCTTTTCAGTGTGCCTGTGCCTGCCAAAGTGCTTACTAATTAGAAATACACCACCTTTTAAGCACCTGAATGGTCACCAGCTAATGTGCACAGAAAGAATTGCTCTGTTTTGAGGACAATGCACTTGTCAGCTGGCAGGGCGTTGTTCAGAGTCAGTATACCGCCTTTTCACTCTTGACTCTACCTTTATTAGAAAATGAATAATTTGATAATCCATGTGGTTTACCACTGGTCCTTGCTTTAGACCAGACTTGATGACGGATGACCTTCAGCTGATAATGGGTTTGTGGTGACCGACCTTTAAGTCGGTCATTGAAGATGATGTGGTAAATAAAATCTCTCCGTAGCTGCTTTGAACAGGTATCAGTGCAGTGATGTGTTTCAGCACATGCTTCCTTTCAGATAAAGGATATGCCTAATCTAAAGAGATTCTACCTCTAAGGTTGGTACTCAAGTAGGATGAAACAATTTCAGGGATTAGAATTACATGCACATCGTGCTGCACTTGGTACATTAAGCTCAGGACTACATTTCTGCTTTTACAAGGGTGTTGATTTTAAGATAATTAATTGTCATTAATCTATGTACTACTTAGTAATGCACTTTGTCTGAGAGCAGCTACTGATTCCGGTTTAATATTGCATCGTACATTGAGAAATGTTTCCAAAGAAATCTTAGCCATGTGGTTCACTCAATGTACTGGCATTTGAAATAAATTGTCTGTTTTGGTTTCTGTCCTATTGCATCTGCAGACTATGGAGAGGCGGAAGACTCTTATACGAAGGCTCTGCAGATTTGTCCAGCCTGCTTCCAAAAAGATAGGGCTGTTTTGTTTTCAAACAGAGCTGCTGCAAAAATGAAACAGGTGAATATTCGTTTTATTTTATGAAATACCATGTATTGATTACATGACAAATGCAATAATGAAGTCATTAGGGGTGCATAAAGGAGGGCAAAGGAATAAAGCTGTTTGCAGGTTTTGCTGCTTGCTCAGTCTCATGCTCCCAGTAGAAATGCTGGTATGCTTGGTTTTAGTGAGGATGAATACAAAGCTGAAAGTTGCAATTGGAACTGCTGTTCAAAGTTGCTCTGCTGCATTATGTTTACAACACTGATTTTTCTTTCATTCTCTCTATTTTAATGAAATTTAAAGTTCATGTGGAACGGATGTCTTTAAGCATGTTTAGCATATGCAGACCATGTATTAGATTGTTTAGAATTGTAGCTAGTTAGTGTTTTTTCTAAAAGCCTGGATTGTCATATACTTCATTTAATTGGCTCAAATGCTTTGAGGCATAAGCAGGACTTCCTAACTATGGCTTTATTAATTCAGTTAGTCTGCTTCCTTCACAGTTGCCATATAGTAGGACAGACCTATATAGTACGTCACGGTCTGGATAGAATGGCCACAGCTTTCTTCAGATGTTTTCTCTTCCTTGACCAGGGACAGGTGCCCAGATGCTACCAGAATCGGCAGTGCAGTTAGGTAGCATGCAAGGCATAGAACACAATCTGTCTGAACAGAAACTTTCACTTCTTTAGAAAGAGGAGATACTAAGAATTCAGGGGTAATTACTCCCTGGTTTTGCCTTTGCTTTTAAGATTAAATTATTATAGAAAAATAGCACAGTAACTCCTATCCTCAGTTTACCTTCCTGCAAAGGGAACTTTCTTGCAGTTTTCCTCCAGTATTGAGACAGATGCAGCTCTGTTTAGAAATGTACCTGGCAGCCATATTTAGGCATAAGTAAATCAATTCTGACTCAGCATAGAGTATTCTTGTTTGGCTAGAATTATCTGACTTGCTGTTGGGATACTGAATTGTTTCAGCACGCAAGGAAAAAAGGGAATAAAATCTGTAATAACAGATGCTGGAACCTTTCAAATACGAAAGCTGTAAACTGAAAAGCCTCCTCATAATACAGATGTTAGCTATTCGTAGCACTGGGAAACTAATCCAATAGTCCCCAAAGCAGGCCAAGATGATAGAAGAACTGTGCACAAGCTAGTGTATCCCACCAGTATAGATCAGTGGAACCTGACAGACCAAGACATTACTCTGAAAATCGATTCATATTATCAATAACTTCCCCATTAAGTTTGTTCTTCCATACCTGCTGCACCCATTTGCTTTGCACTACAGTAAAAGCTTGGGAGGCATTCTTCTGTGAGACAGCTTCTGTTTTATGGAGGGGAAAATAGTTCGTTGGGTGTAGAAAGATTACTGCTACTTAGATCAACCATACAAGCACAGAACAGCCTGATTTTTTTTTTTAAGCCCTTTTAGTTTGAATGTAAATAGGATCTCTGTCTCTGGTCTTTTGGTTTTTTTCTTGTTTTATTATAAGCAGATTGCCTGGCTCTCATCTTCTAACTATGGTTGTCTGGGTGCACTAAAATCTTGTCCCTACCAATTCTGGAACTCTCATGCATTGTCCCTTGTAGAGAAAGCTGTATTAGTGCTAACGGCAGTATCTGCTTTCCAAATGTCTTAGCTCGTACAAACAAGAATTTATCTGGGAGTCTTGGGAACCGTCTATTCCAGCCCCTTAATTACTTGACTAAGGTAGAAAAGCTGTAGCTCAGTTAAGCCAAGGCCTGCAGATGTGACTCAGCCTTTTGACTGTAGCTTGCTGCCGGCTGTTCAGTGCAGACCGATTAGTGGGGCAGCCATGCAATTTGAACACTGACAGCTTTCACAGAGAGGAAGCTGATCACTGGTAAAGAGCTTTACATCAGAAGCAACGGTATGAAAAACCTTGATTACATGAACATCCCAGTTCCTTGGCCTGCCAGACAAACCTTTTTGCTTGCAATTGTAAATAATCTGTGTCCCAAGAAATATGAGTTAAAGCTAACAAAACTATTTCATGTTCTAGGACAAGATGGAAGCTGCCCTAAGTGACTGCAGCAAAGGTATGACTTTTTCTGTGTGGTGCTCTTGTGCCAGAAGATCTTTCATACATAAATGATGCCAGTTAGTGCCTTACTGCAGAGCTGTAATTTGGGGCATAAGGGTCTTTAAAGAATTTATAGAAAAGCTGTGGTGGAAGACACCTGAATCTAGAATTACTTATATTATTTTTATTATTTATTTTGTAAAATGTCTATCAAACTTTTCCTGTCTCTAATCATTTACTTTCTATTCTCTTGTGCCGATAAGGCTGCTGTTGTACTTTTAAAATAGGAAAGTCTTTTTATTATGGAAGCCGTTTCCTTACACCTACTATTTTAAACCCACTTCCACCTGCCATTCCCCCCCCCAATCTTGGTTTAATCCCAGATTCCAAAGAACCGTGAGGCCTTATAGAATTAAAAGCATTATCAAGTCCCTTTTATGCAAGGCTTTTGCTTTGTCACAAGGGCTTATGCTCTCCCGTTCTTATCCTGCATAGTTTTCTCTCTGCAACTTCGGGTGAAGTCATTTCAGCTGTGCATTGCTTTATTGCTTCCGCCCACTCACCCATGCTCGAATATTTGTTAAACTCCCCATGACAGCTGGGGGAAAAAAATCCAAATTACCAATCAGAAAACTAATCCAATGGCTGCGTGCCAGTACTGCTTGTACAGTAAATATGAGTTTGTACATGCTAAAAGTATTCTTGAAGATAACAAATTCTAGCTGGCCTTTGTCGGTTGGAGGTCTGCGTTGTTTTGGCGGTGGTGCATTTTGAAAAACACTTCTGCTAATTTTGTAGTGGCTGAAAGGGAATCTGTCTGCTTTGCAGCAGTGAGAGTTAAACCTACCATCACTTGACACTCCCCAGGGACTTGGCTTATAAACTGCAATGCAACACTTGGAGCACAGCAGAGCGATTCACACTAACCTGCAACTTGCTGACTGTAGCATTGTCTTTGTCCTTCCAGAAGAAATAAGCTAGAATATTTAGCTAGATAATCCTAGATTTAATTGTCCCCAGAACCGTTTTAATGGGTTAGTAATTATAAAATGGGCAGTCTTTCATACACCCTCTTTCTGTGATGAAAAGTGGATAAAGAAGTTCTTGAGAAATTACCGTTTGCAGGTTTCTCTTAAGTTTAGCATTCGGTCTTAACTGCATCCGTAAACGCGGTCATGGCTGCCAAGGGAATAAGGAGAGGAAAAGCTTAAATTCAGTCAGTATGCGCCTCTGCTAACTTGTAGAGCTAATATAACCGTTTGTGGATTCCCAACCCAATTTTGACTGTTTGATATTAAATTCAGAAGAACACCAGTAATTCCCCTGGAGTTTGCCTCAACTTGAACTGAGATAAGCAGGGAAATGTTTATTTTCCCTGCTCTGTGTATCTTTAGGTATATTTAACTTCAGCTGTAATCTAATAATATACGCTTATTTAATATACAAAAGCTGAAAAATATCTTACAGGTCCTTAAAATTTCTGAGGTGTCACTTAGAATCTCTGCATATATAGTATTGCAAAATTAAATGTTTGTGCATTATAAATCACTTCTATCTGTGATAGATTGTAGACATTGAATGAAATACGATCATTTGCACTAGACTTTCACAGGCAGATGGATGCCTTTCTGAATTATGACTCAGCTTTTAAACTGTGACTCTGCTTGATCCTAAGCTACATTGTAAAGATAACTGTTAAGAATTTAATACACACTGAAGAATTCATTTGAGGGGTGTAGAAATGTTTCAAGTAAAATACTGTGCTTTGGTTTTGTTTTCTAGCAGTGGAATTGGATCCTAACTATATTAGAGCTTTGCTGAGGAGAGCAGAACTATACGAAAAAACAGAAAAACTAGATGAAGCTCTGGAAGATTATAAGGCAGTCCTAGAAAAAGACCCATCAGTTCATCAAGCCAGAGAAGCTTGCATGGTAAGCCTTTTTAGTATACTTTGGCCTAACTTTAAACCAAGGTCTTCTCTTTCCTGTTCTAAATAGTCAGTGCTGTTTATGCAAGCAGCTTTATATGCAGTGGTTATAATTTTTTTTTGAGTCTGAAATTGTAGTGGTTTTCTCATCTGGTTTTACGTAAGGAAGATTACATGAACTGCCACAACTTCCATGACGAGTCTCAGGTCCATAAAGCATAGTCCTGCTTTTACTTTTGTAAAATGAGTGAATGTAAACGTGTGTTCTGAGCTGTAAGCATGTAGTTACATGTTTAGCTGTTGAACAGCGTGCACGCACACACACACAAACACACGCTTCGTTCTGGTTTTCTGACTGAGGCTGTTAACTGTATTTATGCATGTGCTAGAAAAGGTTGCCTGAACCACTGCTGCATTTTAGTAGCCATCGTTTCAATAAGGATCTTCAATTTGGAGATCAGAATACAAGCACCCAATAATACAGTTCTTGATAGCTGTTTAATTAGTGGGGGTCTGGTTTTATTTCAGTAGAATTATTTTTCTAATTGGTAAATTTGCAATCTAATGCCTTTATGGCATAATTATAAAATAATTACTTTTTTTGATCACTCGATTACATAACTTGGAGGATGGCAGAGAGACAAGATTCTACCAGTCTGTATCTATGTTTGTAGCTACTTTGAAGTGTTGATATTTTTGTTTCTTGATTTAGCTGTTTTCTGTTCTTTGCTATGCCTAGTGTGTGTATTGGCCACTTTGAGTTATTTTACTGATAGTGACTGAAGTCTGCTATTAAACTTCAAAAACTTAGCCTTTCACTTGAAGAAAAAGGCACCTTGTGGTTGCAAACAGCACTCTCCTGATTCAGTTACTTTCTTCGTTCTAAACAAAAAAAAAGAAATTCTGCAGCTTAGTACTGTGTTCCAATGTCCACTTTCAATCAAATTACAAATGCTTCAGGACTAAACGTTTCTTGCAGAATATTTGCCGTATCTCTGTAAGTGTAAGGAAATGCTTTAAAAGTTTCCTTGGCCTTTAGGATGTGTCAGCTTGGATGAAAAAAGGTTAACCCCTAGCACTTCCTGAAACCCCAGTCTAACATGTAAATAATCCCTGCTCAATGGGGATTTAAAGTCACTGCCACAGCCTGCTGATTTGAGGTTTTAAGTAACTCTTTGTGTAAAATACCAGCAGGAAGTGGTTTTTCTAGTGATATTTAGTATGTTAATGAAAAATAAAAAAAAGCTGTGGATTTGACAAGTTCAGAGGGTCTTTTCACAAGGGTAGAAAGAAGGGAAATTTATTTTGTGCAGAAAGCTCCTCTGACAGGCTGCTTGCTGTTCTTATTTTTGAAAAGAGGTTATGAAGGCTGTGTTGAAAGGACAAATGTGGTAGAGATGTAGCCAGACAGCCTGTGGTTTTGAAGGAACGTGCTAATGAAAGGTAGCCACTATAAAAAGTACAGTGGTGGTCGCTTTTTATCAAAGTGGGAGCTTCAGGTCACGGTAGGTGAATGATTTTTGCAAGCACCGGAGAGCCTGGAAAGAACTGACCATCTTCTGCAGGGAAAACTAACAGCCGAACTATTCCTCACTTCCATTTTAAGGTAAATGGATGCATTTTTAAAATCTAATTCTTAGTTCGGCACCCAAATTCATATGCCAATACTTGACTTTATTTACATCTGGTTAAATTTTCAAAGGGTGTCATTATTTTAGTTCAGCTTCACATCAGTGAACCTGCAACGTATTCCGCCCCATAAAGAAAAAAAAAAATCATTTGCTTCACCTGCAAAATTATCTCTAAAACCACTCTGAATATGTTGATGCAGAAATATTTTTGAAAGGCTTAGGTTTAACTGTTTTAACTCTCCATTTGGGAAAATAAATAATTCGTAGTGATTCCCCCCCCCCCCCCCCCCCCTAACCCCATTGTCTCGAAATCACGAAACATAACTTTT